TGCATACATCCGCAATATCGAAAAACGAAAACACTGCCAGATGGAATCGCACGGGAGCAATAATAATAACAATAAATAATAATAAACAATAATAATGATAATGATAACAACAATAATAATAACAGAATTCATTATAAGAGTAATAATAATACTAGTATTTGGACCACCGTACAATCAGTATGGTGACCGCAAGTTAGCGATATTAATGAAACGCTTCCACACTTCAGGCACAGCTATGCTAATTTCCAGTTTGCCCACCCCCAGTTAGCACCCACTGCCTGCGTTATGTTAGTGCCACCACTTCAAATGCAACGCAAACGGCGCTGCGTTTGAAACGGTGGCACTACTTTCTCACGAGTAACACTCACAGATGTGCAAAGCCACTGGTTAACAAGAAGGCGAGCAACATGTCCTGATCAAAGAATTCTACTTTCTCGCATGGATGCAGTTGGGTTTTTCGCAGTGCGCATCTAACGATGAGTCTGGTTGCTTGCACGGTTACGAAGAGACACTTCAGTCTTTGTCTGACACGTTTGCAAACGAGAGAGCACTCCATGTTTCGAGTTTTACCCATTTTCACGACCTCACTCGCACACGTAAATGTATACAAGGTAGTGCAAGTGTGTCCCATTCAAAAATGCATTACGAGAAACACCAAGAAGATAACGCTGTAAATTCAGTAGCACGCAACAGTGGGCGACGTGACAAGTGATGATAGCAGGCCTACCGTTCCCATTAGCAGCGAACGATGCGCATCCTTGCAGTGTTCCGGGGGCGCCACACTCGCAACCCACGCCAGATGGTTCATCAGAACACTCGACAACAGCGTCGATACGAAGCTGAAATAGGACATCTTTTCGGAATGCTCATCGAAAGCTCACCCACGATGGCGAGGATGACAGCAGTACGCAACACACACAAAACAGGACGCTTGCTGTCTAGGATGGGTTCCCTTCAGCCAGCACTAGTCTCCTCCATTTAGTACCGCATGAATACTAGTTGACTTACTATCGGGTCGACTTCAGGTCGTACTCGTAGATCAGTGTTGCCAAATTGGCACAGAAATTATTCGCCGTGCACTCATATTCCTTCTCGTTCATCAGACTCAACCACACTGGCGAACGGAACCGATATGAGTTGTACAGCAGACAGACGTTGCGCGCGAGCTCCAACCACGCCTGCAAATAATCACTAAAAAGAAACAGCATGTCGGTGCCTAGGCACTAAAGAGATAAGAGAACCTCGGACCCAGACACTAATAATTGGCCAGCGCACCGACTGTCGGTGCGAAGATACGTTTTTTGCACAGTCCTCCGAAGGTTTTCCTCGCTAATAGCACTGATTTTTTTTCCGGCAGATGCTTCCAGTTATAAAAAAAAAAAAAAACCAGACTAGTCACCACAATTGTCAGAAATTATTATTGTGGCTCTCAAATGGTGCTCAA